CCCACAAGAAGCTTAATACCTAATTAAGAAATCAGACATACCAACAAAACAATTTGGGATTAAGAAGGATAATAAAAGAGTTTAATTGTATGCTATAGAGAAAGAATTCTGTAGCTCATAGGAATTAGAAATGTAAGGAATTTTAGAGGATATCTAGTTCAATGCCTTTATTTTACAGGTGAAGAAATTGAAGTTCAGATAGTTTAAGTAAATTAAAGTTGTGTTAAGTTCCATATAGGTAACACATTGCACAGCCAGGATTTGAACCCAGGTTCTCTAACCATACTCTACTATGAACAATCTCCCCCATATTCACCTATCCAACCCATAGCCATGTTTCAAGATTCAAACCAAATTTCTTTTCTTTGATACAACCTTGTCTACCAACCCAAACCAAAGTAATCTCCCTCTTTTTCTATTTTCTAGAGCATGTGGAAAGCCCTCCAGAGTAGCAATCAAGAGTCCTAGGTTCAAGCTCAAATTCTGCTACTGGCTTCCCACGTGACTGGTATTGACCCCTTTGAGCCTCAATGCCCTCATTTATAAAAGAAGCAGGTTGGGTTAAATGCTTTCTAAGGGACCTTCCAACTCAAATATTCTGAGGTTCATTTATCTTTTGACAATCATTATCTTGTATTCCGTTATGTTGTTAGTTAGCTTTTTATAATCTTCCTAAGACACAAATCTGACCAAGTCATTGTTCTGCTGAAAATTCTTCATTGGCTTCTAAGATAATATGTAACTCCCTTCACCTGATCTATGAACCTTGTACAACCTGGCTCACACTTCCCTTCTAGTCTCAGTTCATATCATTTATTCCCCTTCACAGATTATGCTTTCTAATCAGAATATAATATTAGTTGTTACTTGATTCTGACATTTCTGTCTGGAATAGACAGAATTCTTCCTCATTCCCTCCCCCCTTCTCTGTCTCTGTCTCTGTCTCTCTGTCTCTGTCTCTCTCTCTCTGTCTCTCTCTCTCTCTCTCCCCTTGTTTTCCTTAAACACTCAGTTTAGGTGCCAATTCCTTCTTAAAGCCTTCCTGGTATACTCCTTTTACTTTTACCAGGTAGCTACTGCTGGTCTTCTCAATTTTTTTTTCATTTGCTTCTTGGCAAATAAATTGGTATTTAAGCAATAAATGCCACAGTTGTCTTAGTAGACATGTTGCATCCTTCTTGTAAAATATAAGCTCTTTGAGGCCAGAGTCTTTTTTGTCTTTGTCTTTGTATAGACCAATCAATTAATGAGCATTCATTCATTAAGCACCTATTATGTGCTTGGGACTGAGCTAGGCACTGAAGATTTAAAAACAAAAATGAAATATCCCCTGCTCTCATGGAGATTATGTTCTATTGGAGGGAACAATGTATACATAGGTATATGAAAATATATGAAAATTCTGGAGGTGGCAGAGCTCAGGCAGCTAGATGGTATGGTGGATAGGGTCTTGAGCCCAGAAACAGGAAGAACTGAGTTTGAATCCTGACACTTACTGTGTGATCCTGATCAAGTTACTTTTAACCTCTGCCTCAGTTTTCTCATCTATAAAATAAGCATAGTAATAGTTTCTATCTTCCAGGGCCTATGAAAATAAAACGAGATAATATTTGCAAAGTATCTCATAAATCTTAAAGTGCCATATGAATGCTAGCTATTATTATTTGAGAAATCAGGAAAATCGTTGTGTAGAAGGTGCTACACAAGCAGAATTTTGGAGAGAATAAAGGATTTTGAGAGGCGTAGGTGATGTAAGGATATATTCCAAGGATGGGGAGAGAGCCAGTTTGCACAAGGCTTGGACATGGGAGATGTAGTATGGCATATGAAGAAAAACAAGAAAACCATTTTGACTGAGCTGGAGTGTAAGGTGGTAAAATGTATTTAATTTTGAAAGGTATGTTGAGAGCAGGTTGGAAAGAGTTTTAAAATCTAAACAGACAACCTTATACTTGTTTCTAAAGGCAATAGGGAGCCACTGGTGACCATGGGGATAAAAAGGAGGTGATTAATTTAAGAATTGTTTTGGAGGTAGATGAATAAGACTTTGTAACTAAGATACAGGACTGAGAGAGAAAAGCAAAAGTAATATCAAAATTTCAAATTGTGCTTTTCCGAAATAAATGGGGAAGTAGGAAGAGAAAAGGGGCAAGTAGATGGTATAGGGGATAGAGTGTCCGGCCTGGATCAGGAAGACTCATCTTGAGTTCAAATCTGGTGTCAGACACTTACTAGCTGTGTGACCCTGGTCAAGTCACTTAACTCTACCTCAGTTTCCTCATCTGTAAATTGAACTGGAGAGGGAAATAGCAAACCACTCCAGTATCTTTGCCCAGAAAACCTCAAATGGTGTCATGATGTGTTGGACACAACTGAAAAATGATTGAACAACAACAAAGAGGAGAAAGGCAATCTTGAGACAGATAAATTCAATTTTATATATGCTCGGTGGAACGTATTTATGGACCTTCAGGTGGAGATGAACCATAAGCATTTTGGTATGTGACTCTGAAATTCAAAATAAAAGAGAAGTCTGCTCACACTACATAGAATGGATACTGCTTCTACCACAGAGGATAAGAATGGAATCTTGTGGAACCCTCACCTTCAGGAGTTGGAAGGAAGGAAATAACCATTGAAACCCATTAAAAAGAAACAGAGAGGTAGAAAGAGAAGCTGAGCAGTATCTTCAAAGTCAAGGGAGTAGAAAAGGAGTAGTCAATAATTTAATTTTTTCAGTTAACAAGCATTTTTCTTTCTCACCACCTACCCACAGTCCCAATGAAAAAGAAAAAAAAACCCTTGTAAAAAATATACTTAGTCAAGTAAAGTAATTCCCACATTGACCATATAAAATGTATATCTCATTCTGCATCATGAGTTCACTGCCTCTCTATCAGGAGATACAAGACATTCTTCGTCATCAGTCTTCTGGAATCATGATTGGTAGTTGAATTGATCAGCATTCTTAAGTTTTTTTTAAGTTGTTTGTCTTTATAATGTTGTTATTATATAAATTGTTTTCTTGGTTTTGCTCACATCATTCTTCATTTGTTCATATAAGTCTTCCAAAGTTTCTTTGAAACCCTCCCTTTTGTCAAATGAATGAATGAATAAAGCATTTATTAAGTGCTTACTACATGCAAAACACTGCACTAAGCACTGGGGGTACATACAGAAGTCAAAAGTTCCTGCTGTCCAGGAGACCACATTCTAATGGAGAAGACAGCACACATGGAAAGTTTTAACTCCAAGTCAGATGGGAAGGTTCCATGGCCACTCAATGAAAGCCAGAACGATTTGGGTTTAAGGGCTAGCAACGCCATTTAAAACACAATGGGCTTTCCAACTAGAAATAGGAAAGAGTTCTGAAATCCTAAATGTGATCCTGGGAATATATTATCAAAGAGAATAGCATTCTCTTTTTGCCCTGGAAGAAACTAGGACTTCACTTACTTTTTGGGTGAGGGTGACAGACTCCAAATTCCAGAGTGTCTGGAATTTTTGAATGAATGAGTTTGGTTTTTAAATTTTAAATTTTTTTAAAAGGCAATTGGGATTAAGTGACTTGTCCAGGGTCACACAGTTAGTGAGTGTCAAGTGTCTGAGGAAGATTTTATGCTTCCTGTGCCAACTGTTAATTCCCTTTCCACTTCTTTCTTCCATAGCTCTCATCTCTTTTTGATTTCCCCTCCTCAAACACTGCATTCTATTTATAAAAACATTTAAAACTCTTTCTTTCAAACTCTTGCTTCATTTCATCAGGAATCTAGTCTGAGTTTGCGCCCAAGTTGAAGTTTTCTCTGAGGCAACATTTGTAGATATTTTGGAGACATTCTTTTTTGTGTTTATGTCTTGTTGCTGCCACCATAATGTATTGTTCAATATGATAGATTTTTTTGTTTGCCCATTCTTCCAGGGACTTGATGTTAGGTCTAGACTCCACTGCATTTCTGGAGGGAATGCTTGGGTTTATTCCGGTTGGGATGCCAGTGGATTGCTATGGGACTCAGCCACTGACAGCCATCTAGAAAGCTCTACAGGTTCGGGGTGGCTCTTGTGGTCTGTGCATCCATCACTATTCTACTGCAGGCTTCAGATTGAGTTGGGGATGTATTTTATACTCACATCTTGCTCCATCAACAGACCAGGGTCCACAAACTCTTGCTGCCCTGATCTCCCCTAATCCCTAGATGCAGATTACCTCTTTAAGCTGCTGTGACCCAGCACTGGGTAGTAAGGTATAGAATTGCCAGCTGTCAGATGATTATTCTTCCTGCACAAGGTAAGTTCCTGCAGTGCCAGAGGTGGAAACCCTTCTGGTTTTAGTGCAGAGTTGCAGGCAGGCACCCTTTAGTTCAAGACCTATTTAGTCTGCAGACCCATTTTCCATGCCAATCTGGGCTAGAAAAATTACACACTGTGATTAAAAAGAAAAAAAAATTCCTAATCAGTACTCTGGTGTGTTTTCTAAATCTTTGTTGGACGAGTGGTGAGGAAGAGTTCTGATGTACTGCTTCCTTCTATTCAAAGATCTCATCTAGTCTCTTGATCAATAGTTTAAAAAATTTCAGAGAGGCCAAGCAGGATGAACACTTAGAAAGGATCTTTGGATTTGGCAATAAGAATGTATCTGGTGAACTTTGAGAGGGAATTTGTAGTCTAAGTATAGGAAAGGAAGCTAGTAATAGTTGTGTAGGTGATAAGGAAGTAGAGTAATTGAGATGTCCCCAGTTTTCAGTACTATTACTTCTGGCCCCTTTAAATAACTTTGCATATTTTGTATTTACTTCTCTCTTAACATGTTTCTTCCCAGTAGAATGCAAGGTCCTTGAGGGCAAGGTCAATATTTTGAATTTGTATGCATAGTAACCAGCATTGTGTCAAACATATAGTAGGTGTCTAATAGTGTTTGTTGAATTGAATTCTGGAACACTAATATTCTTCAAAATAATTTAGATTATCCCTTCATTCTCTTCTTAAAGGTGACTATCAAGGTGGTATCACTGATCAAGACAATGGACAGAAAAAATCACCCTGTGGTGACTGAGTTTGTGTTCCTTGGACTTACCAATTCTTGGTACATGCAGCTTTTCATCTTTCTATTCTGTTCTGTGTTCTATGTGGCAAGCATGCTGGGAAACCTCCTAATTGTGGTTACAGTGACTTCTGGCCCTTGTTTACACTCACCCATGTACTTCCTGCTGGCCAACCTCTCCTTCATAGATCTTGGGGTTTCCTCTGTCACTTCCCCCAAGAGGATATGTGACCTTTTCAGAAAGCGCAAAGAAATTTCATTCTCTGGTTGCATCACTCAGATGTTCTTTATTCACTTGATTGGTGGCGTTGAGATGGTGCTGCTTATAGCCATGGCCTGTGACAGATATATTGCCATATGTAAGCCTCTCCATTATCTGACTATTATGAGTCCAAGAATGTGCACTGTATTCCTAGTGGCTGCCTGGACTATTGGCCTCATCCAGTCAGTGGTCCAGCTGGCTTTTGTTGTAAACTTACCCTTCTGTGGCCCTAATGAATTGGATAGTTTTTACTGTGACCTCCCTCGGTTCATCAAACTTGCCTGCGCAGACACATATAAACTGGAATTCATGGTCACTGCCAACAGTGGTTTCATTTCCTTGGGCTCTTTCTTCATCTTGGTCATCTCCTACATCTTTATTCTGGTCACTGTTCAGAAACATTCTTCAGGTGGTTCTTCCAAGGCTCTCTCCACTCTGTCAGCTCACATCACAGTGGTGGTTTTGTTTTTTGGCCCCTTGATCTTTTTCTATACCTGGCCATTCTCCACATCACATATAGATAAGTTTCTTGCCATTTTTGATGCAGTTCTTACACCTTTTCTCAATCCAGTCATTTATACACTCAGAAACAAAGAGATGAAGGTGGCAATGAAGAAAGTGTGCAGTCAGCTTGCAAATTTCAAGAAAATATCTTAAAGGACTGGAAAAGAATACCAAAACATTGAGTTTGAGTTCCTGCAGGGACACTGAAGTGATAGTAGTCACTTGGGGATATTGTTTTGGTTATGGGGGGGGCGGAGAGAGGGAGAGAAAGAGGGGGATAATTATTAATAAGTTGTTTACATAAATATTTTAGTTGAAATAATGGATTTATGGAAGATCATTATTTGACAATGTGGACAGTGCAGAGAAGAGTTTAATAATAGAAAAATTACCTTAGAAAGTAAAAGAATAATGAAGAAAATAGAGAAGCAGCAATCAGGATGGCAAGAGGAGAACAAAAAGATACCTGTGACACAAAAGAACAAAGTAAAAAAAGTTTCAAGAACAAGATGATAGTTAACAGTTTGAAATGCTCCATGATAAGAAGAGGGTTACTGGTTTTATTTATTTTTTTACTAAATTCCTTAGTATCTATTCCAACAAATTTTCCTTTCTTAGGTGTTCTGGAATTACATATTCTAGAAAATAGTCATTTGTTTAATTAAAATAAAACAACACCAATAATCAAGCAAGGCCAACTTCCTGTACATTTGGTTCCCACAAAGAAGTCTGTCAATCTATTTTGGATAAGTAAATATTGCTGATAAGTATATTGTATAGGTGGTTTCAATGAACTTATCATTATTGACTTTAAAGTCCCCTGTAAGGGGACTCCTAAAATTATCTTTTGGTTTTCATAATTTCTACTTTGTATCTGATAAACTATAATTTCTGATCTTCCCTATTATTAAATGGGCTTGTAGTTGCTTTCATTTTGTCTCACCCATTAGAAGACTGTGAGCTTCTTAAAAGCCAGGACTGTGCTGTGTCTTTCTTTGTATCCTCAGTACTCAGCACAGTGAACATTTATTAAGCATCTAACTATGTGTCAGGCATTGAGCTAAGCACTGGGGATTCACAGAAAGGCACAACAGTCTTGGCTCTTAATAAGGAACTCAGGGTCCTCTAACGAGGGAGATAACATGCAAACTATGTATGATAGCATATTTATCTTATACATATATGTATATATACATATACATACATATATACATATATACATATATATATATATTAATATATACATATATATATATATATATATATATATGTAAAATTGGAGAGAATAGAAAGAAGGCACCAGAATTAAGGGGGATTAGAAAAGGCTTCCTCCATTTTATCTGCATCTTGAAGGAAGTCAGGGAAGCTAGGAGGTAGAGATGAGGAGAGAGAGCATTCCAGGCATAGGAAACAGCCACTGAAAATGCCAGGAGAAGGGAGATGGTGTGTCAAGTGCAAGGAACAGCAAGGAGGCTAAATTGTAGCGTATGGGTGGGAGAAGGGGGAGAGGGGCATAAGATATAAGAAGATTGGAAAGGTGGAGGAGGGAGGGTATGAAAGAGTTTGAATGCCAAATAGAGGATTTTATATTTGATACTGGAGATGATGGGGAGCCACTGGAATTTATTGAATGGTGTGTGTGTGTGTGTGTGCGTGTGTGTGCGTGCATGACATGGTAAGACATGTGCTTTAGGAAGATCACTTTGACAAGAACCTAACAGTTCAAGGGATGTTAGACATTGCATTCTATATTAAACTGTTGGCCATTTAGCTCTTTCACTAACTAGTATTTCTTACCTTTTACACATTCTCTAAAACTAGCGGAACACACATTTGTCCTGGGCTTTCATTATGGTATTATGAAAAATATCCATTATATCCTGTGAGTTTTTGAATTTTTAGTCTTCTCAGTGTTCTACCTAATGGTTGCATTTGAATATCTTTACTCTTCTAAAATTCAGTAATTTTATGAAATATTTCTCTGGTTTTCATTCTTCCTCTAAAGTGACCTCTCTTCACTCAGCAATGATTATATCATGATCATTATTATTTCAATGATTCTCATTCACATTAATGTCCTGTACCACCTCTTTTCACTTAATTAGGACCTTTTCCTGGGTATTCTCATTTTCTTTTCTTTTCTTTTCTTTTCTTTTCTTTTCTTTTCTTTTCTTTTCTTTTCTTTTCTTTTCTTTTCTTTTCTTTTCTTTTCTTTTCTTTTCTTTTCTCTTCTCTTCTCTTCTCTTTTCTTTTCCTTTCTTTTCTCTTCTTTTCTTTTGGCTAGGCAATGGGGTTAAGTGACTTTTCCAGGGTCACATAGCTAGTAAGTGTTATGTGTCTCAGGCTGGATTTGAACTCAGTTTCTCCTGAATCCAAAGCTGGTGCTCTATCCACTGCACCACCTAGCTGCCCCATGGGTGTTCTGAAATGACTAGCCTTGGAGCCTGCCATTTTTCTAGTCCCTCAATTTCCCTATTCTTCATTTTCTGATGAGGAATTCTGTTAATCTATTTTTTTTTGGTAAAATTAAAGTCTATGATTATTACTACCAGCTTGGAATTGTAATTTCACTGCCTCCATTATTTCCAACTCAGTCTCATTATCCTCAGTATATGGACTCATATATACACAACTCACATTTTTTTGTTACATAATTTAACTAGATTCAATTCGATCTATTTCAACAAGTACTAACTGGGTGCTTCTTAGATGCATGGCACTGGCTTAGATGTTGGTTATGTAAATAAAAAATAAAATAGTTACTTCAATCATGGATTTCACATTCTATAGCAGAGATGAAGATCTATCAAGTACACGGTAAGTAAATGTAAGGTATGAGCAAAGTTGTACAAAGCAATGAGAGAGATAGAGATAGAGAGAGACACAGAGAGAGACAGAGAGAGACACAGAGACAGGAATAGGGAGAGACAGAAACAGAGAGAGACAAAGACAGAAACTAGGGGAATCAAGAAAAATCACATAGCACAAACAAACCAAATGCAACCAAAATTAGAAGGAAAGCAGAAGACAGGGAAAAAATTTTTTATAGGAAGCATCTCTGATAAAAGCCTAATTTCTCAAGCATATAGAGCACTGAATCAAAGTTATAAGAATGCAAGTCATTCTCCAATTGATACATGGTCAAAGGATATAAATAGGCAGTTTTCAGACAAAAAAAACCTAAGCTATCTATACTCATATGGAAAAAATGCTCTAAATCACTATCGATTAGAGAAATGGACATTAAAACAATTCTGATGTACCACCTCACACTCATAAGATTGGCTAATATGACAAAAAAGGAAAATGGTAAATGTTACAGGGAGTGTGGGAAAACTGTGACACTAATGTTCTGTTGGTGCAGTTGTGAATTGATCCAACCATTCTGGAGAGCAATTTGGAACTATGCCCAAAGGCTATAAAACTGTGTATGCCTTTTGATATAATAATACCACTGCTAGGTCTGTATCTCAAAGAAATTTTAAAAAAAGAGAAAAGGACCCAGATGTACAAAAATATTTACAGCAGCTGTTTTTGTGGTGGCTAAGAACTGAAAATTGAGGGGAGGCCCATCAGTTGGGGAATGGCTAAACAAGTTTTGGTATATAATTGTAATGGAATATTATTCTGTTATAAGAAATGACAAGCAGGATGATTTCAGAAAAACCTAGAAAGAATTACATGAACTGATACCAAGTGAAGTGAGCAGAGCCAGGAGAACATTAGACACAGTAATAGCGGGATCATATGATGAAGAACTGTGAATGACTTGGCTATTCTCAGCAATACAGTACAACCAAGATAATCCCAAAGGACTCATGATGAAAAATGCTATCTGCCTCCAGAGAAAGAACTGATATTGTCTTTCTTTTTTTGCACAAAATGATTAACATGGAGGTATTTTATATGATTACACATTGTGTAACCTATATCAGATTGCTTACTGTCTCAGGAGTGGGGGAGTGAGGGAGGGAGAGAATTTGGAGCTCAAAATTTGAGAAAACCCAACAAATCTAAAAAAATTGTTTTTACATGTAATTGGGGAAAAATAAAATATTATTTAAAAAACATATCTGAAAATGAAAAAAAAAAGGCCATGTAGAAGGGGACACTTGAGTTGTGCTTCTGAAGAAGCTAGGGGTTTTGTTTGTCCCCAGAGAGATTTTCTAGTATCTTTTCTTGATTTCCTGGAACAGGAATTTGGTCATGCTAATGCTCATGTTCTTTTTCTTTCTTTCTTTTTTTAAAATCTCTGTCTCAAATGTTTATTACATTGTGTCATTCTGTTTTCTCATTGAATTCCATTTATTGATTAAATTTGCTATTAGATTCTCTCACATAATTTGTTCCACAAATATTTATTGAGTTTGTATCATGCACTCTGATCTTTTCTGGGGACTGGGGGAAATGAAAAGAAGGTCAATACCTGATCCAACCTGTAAGGAGTTTACAATCTGTTTGGGGAGAGAACGTAGATACCCATGAAGTAAAATAAGAATGCAAATGTTAAATAACGATATGTGACAATGATGCAAGAGCCATTACATAATGTTTAATTAAATACCAGATTGGTGGTACAGGAAGTAAGGAAAGAAGATATTGAAGCCTTGCCACCTCATAGATAACTTACTCTATCAGGACACCTGCTTCAGCCTACTTTTCTAATAACTTTACTCCACTGACATCTTATCACCAGCTGTATTTTTTTTGATGAAGCAATCAGGGGATGAAGTGACTTCCAGAGAGTTCTTAATTATAAAATGATAGAGGCAGATTTTGACCCAAGGTCTCCCTGAGACCAAGCCCAGTACTCTGACCACAGTGGCACCACCACCTCTATATGCATGAATCAGAACTTCATTCAAATAAAATAAATTCTTCCTTCCTTCCTTTCTTCCTTCCTTCCTTCCTTCCTTCCTCCTTCCTCCCTTCCTTTCTTCCTTCCTTCCTTCCTTCCTTCCTTCCTTCCTTCCTTCCTTCCTTCCTTCCTTCCTTCCTTCCTTCCTTTCCTTCCTTCCTTCTTTCTTTCTTTCTTTCTTTCTTTCTTTCTTTCTTTCTTTCTTTCTTTCTTTCTTTCTTTCTTTCTTTCTTTCTTTCTTTCTTTCTTTCTTTCTTTTTTTCTTCTTCCTGGATATCCAGACAAATTAAAAGTA